CGAAGTGAGAAAACACATAAATAAGTCTCAAAACCAGACTTCCAGATCACCTACAGCAACCCCAAAGGGAAATGGGATGGAACACTCTGATACTCAACCATCTGGACCCACTGAACTGGCAACAAAAGGGAATCTGGAAAAAATGAAATCAGAAATAATTTCTCAGATAACAGGAGAGATGGTGCTCCTAGTGCAAGACATGATTAATAAATCTAGGGAGGAGCTCAGGAACATGATGGAATCCCAACATAGGAAACAAATGGAATCCATAAACAGGTGCAAATAGATTTCCAGGAGATGAAAAAAATCCATTGAAAGTCTACACAGCAGAATGAGCCAATGTGAGGGCAGAATTTCATATATAGAAGATAAGATTGCAATTAATAACCAGGAAAAGAAAAGTTGCTTCAAAATTATAAGGGAACACAAGAAATCAATCCAGCAGCTGCTAGACGATGCAAAGAAAAATAACATAAGACTGATTGGAGTCAATGAAGAAACAGGAGAGAGTGCAGATGACATAAAAAACTCTTCACAGAAGTAATAGCAGAAAACTTCCCAAGCAGGGGAAAAGAACTTGACATACAAACAAGTGAGGCATATAGGACTCCAAATAGCCTTGATCAAAAAAAATCTACACAACTACTATGACAAGGATACCTCTTTTCCATTCATTCTACCAGTCAAGCTTCCACTATTTCTGGCTTAGATTAACACAGGGGCTCCTTAATTATCTCTACCTCCTTTTCAAAACCTGGATTTGATCATGTGACTTCTCTGCTTGGAATTTCCAGTGGCTTCCCATTACTTTTAAGCTTAGATCCAAACTCCCAAATATGGTATAAAAGACACTGAGATCTCTGCCTACTTTCCCTCACTGTCTTCTTACCTTCATATTTTGGTTTCTGCTCAGTAAGCACTTGCTCCACACCCATTCCTATAACTTCTACCAGTGGTTCAAAACTCAGCTAAAAGTAGCACAATGACATGAGCAAAGCCCATAATCGCTCTGTACCACTCTTGCTAAGGTTGGGTGAATTATCCCTCCCACTGAGAACTGCCTTGTGTACCATTCTGAAAAACTGATGCCACCACATTTGTTTTTTCACTCCACTGTACAATCTCCAGGCAAGGACTACATTATTATGTAGTTTCTTTGGTCAGTGCAGAGTCTATACCACAGTATTTGTTCAATATATGCTTCTTGAATAAGTGAATCATTAATAATAATATTCATATACAGTCCTTGATAACCATTAGTTCTGTTTTGGATTATTTCTAGATGTTCCCCCAAAACCTTATGTACTTACAGGTAGGGCTTTTGGGAGGTGGGTGGATCATGTATGTGTAATACTAGATTATGGATGGAATAACTGGATTAATCCACTGATTGGTTTAGCATAGCTCTGGGTGTGGATAATGGGAAGGCTAACCTGGGTATGGATAGTAACAACTGATAGGCTTGTGGCCTGAATGGAATAAAAAAGAAAGTTAGGCTCACTGCTGGCTGCTTCCTGTCTGCCATGCCATGGACTGTTTCTCCTGCCATGCTTCCTTGCCTTGGAGCCAGCTTACTATGGACTGAGACCTCTCCAAATATGAGCTAAAATAAACTGTTCCTCTTTGAACTTGTAGGTGTCAGGTATTTTGTCCCAGCAACAAGAAAGTAGCTAAGACAAGATCCTTTGAAGATGAAGTCAATTGTCACTGATTCCAACTTCCAGTGCTGCCAGACTAAAGCTAGTTTTTGACATGAATGATCAGTTTTTAAAAATGCTGGGTGAGAGGAAGGCCTGCGTGGGAGTTCTGGATGGATGCAATGGAGGAATACCATTACTTCTGCTAATTATTCCAGAATTGCAAGTGTTATCTCCAATTTCAGAGCCAGGAGAAACAGAATCACCCAGAAACCATGATGCTCAGATGTCTCTGTTCCAAATAAAAATAAAATATAAAATTAACCTTTTAATTGTTCTTTTCTGGCATAGTAAGGCAAACAAAAATAGCTAATAAATCCACCTAGTCATATGGCCTTAAGTATTATTTGGAAGAAAATTTTATTCTAATGAACTGTATAAATTTCTTTATAAATCACTCAATTTTGCCATGTATATGTATGCTATCATATTGCTAGAAATATACCATATGACTTCAAGTAAAAATATGTTTGTGGAGAAAGATAACAATTTATTACAAGAGTAGTGATTCCAAAATTAATTTTAAAAATTAGATATTTCAAAGTGATTAACTCAACATCAGAATGATCAGTTCTTAGGATTGACTTTCTACATCCTCAACAAAAATCTATCCACAAGGCATTTATAAATATAAATGAAAGATGCAAAATTTAAATTATTGGACAGCTTACTTTTCTACCAAAAATCATAATTTAATCTTCCAGAATCCTAAATGATGAACTCATGTAGATTAAGAGAAAGATTCCAAAGAATATGATGTGTATCATTTTATCACACAAAAAAACCTCTCCAAACTTATCAGCTCCTCAGCCTTCACATATTTAAAATGCTGTACATATTAGTAGCCAAGAGTGAATTTTCGAGCCAGAATGCAAAGATTAATCCCTCTTGCACTTGTCAGCTCTGTGACCTGGGGAGGCTTATGTTGGTTGCCTTGCTGTGCCTTATTGTTCTCATCTGTAAAATAGAGATAATAGCATACCTACTTCTTAGACAACTGGAACTATTAAAGGTTAACCTATGGAATGTGCTTAGAACAGTTGTTGCTCATCACTGTCTCCTACTGTGTGGCTGGTTACAATGGTGATAATGCGCCTATAGGATTAGCATACAGTATTGTTATGAACTTTAGAGTAAGATGGTATAACCTAGTCTTTGAATGATCAGGGAAGACAAATTAGTCAATTCAGTTCCAAGGGCCAGGAAAAAGTGACCTAATATCCAGAATTCTACAGAAGTCCTCAATTTGAGTTTTCTATGGAATCAAAACATTTTAATAACTGAAAAGTAGTGAGGAGACAGATCCAACAGTGGGTGTTCCTGCAATCATTTACACAAATAAACACTACTGAGAAGTCAATTGACTGCACAAAAATATCACTAATGTACACCTATGAATATTATTTTGCACAATAGTAAAATCTGTAACATGAAGCAATAAATACTAACAATAAGAGTAAAATAGTAATAAGTAAGCCAAGTACAATTTTTAAAAAATTACTATTGTTGACTATCACCCTTACATTCTCTTTCGGTAATGTCAAATTACAACTGTGCAGCAGCTCAAACAAATTTTTACAATATCACATTATAGGTTACAAATTCCTGAACAGAACTTTCAGAATTTACTTTCTCTTGATCTACCTCATAGATCAAGCTAATTAATTATTAAACAATAATAGCCATGGACACCATTTCCTAGGACTTTATTCTATGTCAGATATTATGCACACTAATCAAACATTCATTTTTATGTGCTTTGGTTGTGGTTGTTAACTATCTCATCTAATTCAAATACTCTAACCATTTGGTGTTTTATATTTATAGTTGAAAGAAATTTACAGGATCAGTTTTCATAGCTATTTATGTTTAAAAAATATTATTTCTCATATCTTTACAATAGTTAGATCAATATTAGAAATATAAACTATAACTACAAAAAGATTGATGCTGTACAAAATCATTTCCAGAAATACTTAAAATAATCTTCTTTAAAGGAATAGAATAGTATTCAAAATACTAATTCTATAACCTTTTCTGCTTCTTCAAACAGGAACAAGGTACTCTGTCAAACATAACTGTACAACAGAGAAGAAACTAGCAAAGGCATGGGCATAGCTATCAACTTTATTTGACCTGCCTATCATTTTAAAATACAAAATATAAGCTGTTCCGTAACTATCATATAAATTTCTCAATGGGTTTATTTTCCCATTCACACTGTAATACCAACAATGTCGGTCTCTTAATCTAGTATTTGTTTTGCAAATTATTACAAATGTACTAGGTATGACAAGTATAAAAACCTAAACATCCCATTCATAAATAAGTGAAGACAACTGAAGCATAACTAAAACTATTCTTTCATTATTTTATTCTTTTATTTTAATCTGGAAATTTAATAGTATTCAATTAATTTTGGCAGGTACCAAAATCATTAATGTGTATCACTGCTACAAAATTCACAGTAAGCCTAACGTGAAAAATATGAATAAAAATTGAATCATTGACATAAAAATCATGACAAATCATCAAATTGAATCATATGACATAAAAAGAAAAAATAAAACTAAAACAGAAATGAGAAGCAATACGCTTGAGGAAGAGATAGAATATGAAAAATCTTCTCTTAGAAGATCATTCTTCCCCACTGTAAGAAAAGGAATTTATGTGCCAGTTTCTGATCACAAGTAGTCTACATCATCTCTGAAATGCACTTGAAAGTAAACGTCTTAGCTGAAAGGCTGTTCCCATTCTTTAAACTCAATGATGGCAAGAGGAACAAGAAGGGGGACACAGGGAAGAGTAGAGAGATGGAATTCATGTAGAGGGTGAAGAAAAAGACCACCTGGTACTAACAAGCCCTAGGCAGCCTGGGCCTCAACATGCCTTCAAGGACAGGAATGAGGAAGAAAAGGGATAACTTCACAAGTGACACACAACTGAGCTTTCACCAGAGGCAATTCTGACTCCCTATCTGCACTGAATGGCCTGACAAAAACAAACAAACAACAAAAACATGACTTCTGCTATTCCTCCCATCTGTAATGGCTGTACTTTGATTATTACCCCAGTTTCAGCAGAACACATATGTACTAGACTGAATTGGATAGGTGTTTTCCATTATTTTGGTTCAGTTGATCAAAATTTAGATTTTAAAAAAAAATTTGAGTACTGTCAGTCTTTTTCTCTGAGGATGTTTATCCTTCATAGATTTATTTCATATTGTTAGTATTAATATCAACAGCATTTTAAAACTGAGCAAAAAAAGCAAGCTAGCATACATCTAATAAAATTCCATACCTGGTGGTATTTCCTGGTGTTCATCCACAAGGGAAACACTTACTTCTAAAATAAAAAAAGGCACAATCCATTAAATGTTATTGACCAGAGTTTAAAATACATATTAGCGATACTGTATTTGTTACTGTGATTATTTTTACAGACTTAAAATATTCAATTGCAAGGGCTGGAGATTTAGGTCAGTGTGCCACACCTGCCTCCCAAGCGCAAGGTCCTGAGTTCTATTCCCAGTACATAAAAAAAAAAAAATTCAATTGCAATGCTTATGAAAACATCAGGTTTTAACACCATCCCAACAAAGAAAAGAAACAGCTACAGTGAGCAAAATGCTATATATTTCTCAACTGTTTTGTACAACAGTTTTTTCATCATCTTTCTAACCTATTGCTTGGCACATGAGATATGGACTAAAACCTAGATTTTTGCCACAGTTTGGCATCAAACTTGATAACCAAACTGAGGACAGACACATAAATCATCTTGTTTCATCATTAAAGGATTTTTTATTGAAAAGTTTTTGAAAGAGGGAGCTGTTAGGAATGCAGCAGATCAAACCTTGGACCTGTACATCGTAATAGGCATTCACTTTACCAGGGAGCCATATTCTGGAGCCACATTCTGAAGAATTCTTGAAAAGTTTTTGGCTCATAACTCTATTTTAATATCAATTAGACAATGTAAATAAATTAATTTGAAGTTGAATCTTAAAATCAAATATCAATCTTAATGGTTTTGAAAAATAATCTGCAAGCTCAACTTTTTTCCTATTCTGGGGATTGATCCCGGGTCACAGCACCCTCACATCGTCTCGTAGTGAGCCAGCTGCACTCCCAGATCCTAGTGACCGGTCAGTAATGTGGATGTGAACTTTTACTATCTTGTCCTTTTCCTTGGCTACTTCAACCCAATTACCTCTAGAGACTGCAAGCATCACTACCCAATGTTATAAAGATGAATTCCATTTGATCTATGAAATTATATTACATATTAATGTCTTAAAAACCTAACAACCCTTTAATACTATGTTAATCTAAAGAAAATTGTATCAGCTTTCCTTTTGGTCTTTACCCATTATTAATATGCTTTGGTCAAAAGCATGTATTTTTAATAGTTTTTCTAAAACTCACAGTATTTATGCAGCTATTTTAATCATTTTTCTTCTTACCTTAATTTGCTAATTATAAAAATGACACATGCTCAGGGCCAGGGATTTAGCTCAGTGGTGCCGATGCCTGCCTCACAAGCACAAGGTCCCAAGTTTGATTCCCAGGACCAAAAAAAATGATACATGCCCAAAATAGAACATTCGGAAATATTTTACATAAAAGGAAACTGAAAAGAATAACCAAACATATTTCTACTAACAACTGTTAATGTATTACACTTCCTGTTATTTTCTTCACTGATGTTATACTAAGAAAACTACTATTCCAAGTTAAATTCTCATCTAATTTTATTCTGAAAAATACACATCATAAAAAAACTCTAAAACTTTTGATATATGATTTATTTTTATATCATTTTATATTATTTTAAATAGTAAAGAGAAAATTAGTTATATCAGCACAACCTGAACGCATTACCTATTTAACTTATATGGCCCGCTTCTTCTTACTCCAGGACTTTTTTAATCCACTCCACTCAGTACAGCTTTCTCTCTCACCATTTACGCCAATGGCTTCCGGGAAGACCAACAACATTCTCAATGTTGCCAAATGTGACAAGGAATTCCCAGTCTTGAGAGTTATGGGCCGCTCAGCAACATGCAATGTGTTCCCGCTTTTCCTTTTGACATTTTTTCCTCCTGACTCACTGGTTGTTCATTGCCCCTTCAACTTTATAATGTTGGAGGTCCTTAGCACTCAGTCTTTGGACAGCCTCTCCACTCTCTACTTAACTCACTTCCAAAGTGACCACACTGGTTTTCATGGTTTAATTAACACCTCCAAGATGATGGCTTACAAAACATTCACATCCATCTCAGATCCTGCCCAATCAGTTAAGGCTGGTATGTCTAAATCCATACTTGATACCTCTGCTTGGATATCTCATAATTTTCAAACTTAACATGCCTACTGTGGAGCTTTTGATTTTCTTCCTTTAATTAGTTTCTTCTACATTCTAGTTTTCTTCTTCTCAATAAATGACTCCATCATCCAGGAATCACTCAAACCAAACACCATTTTATCTCCTCTTTGCTGCACAACAGTCCAGGACCATACCACCCTGAATGTACTCAATCTTGTCTTTGTTTCACAACCATCAGAAAAATCCATCAATTTTAATTGTAAAATATATCTCACAGCATTCAAAAATAGAGCACTTGTGAAGCATGTGCAAGGCTCTGGGTTTCAAGAAAAAGAAAAAGAAGCCACATAAAATAAATCTCTAGTTCAACACTCTCTATTCCATTCTCAAGCCATGATCTCTCTCTGGGACACCAGTCACTTTCCTAACAGGGGCAGTCCCTCATCCATTCTTGTCCTGTCCAATCCATCCTATAGCTATGTAGGAGTTGAGGCAATTCTTCAAAACATAAGCGATTATGCTATACTTTAAGAATTTCCATAAGTTCTTATGACATCTAGAATAAAGTCCAATTCCTTTGAAGGCCCAAACTAATCTGCCCCTCTTTACACTTAAGCCAATTTAAATTGTTTTTCCATTATCTACAACTTAAAATAGCCTTTCTGACGCAGATATATAATAAGAGAATGTCTTAAATATAGGACTGATATAGTGAGATATGGATTTTTGCACAGATTACCCTAACAGGTAAAAAATGGATTTGAAGAGGGCAAGAAGACCAGCTAGCAGGCTATTGCTATTATCTAGGAAGATGTGGGTGCAAGTAGACTACTAGTATAAGAGCTACAGGGAAAAAAAATGGATTGGAGAAGCATTAAAGGAGTCTATAAACAGGACTTGGGTTTAGCTAGAGACAGTGGGAGAATAGAACTCAATAATGGCTCCCATGTTTCTGGTTTGGGAATCCAAAGATCCACTGATACAACCTGCCAAGCCAAGCGAAGATGAGGGAAGGGGAGGCCAGCTGGTGTGTAAAAACTATCAATACCCCTCGGTTCACTCAGGTACTGAAGAGCCCATCACACAAGCTCTAGGTAGGCTGCAGGTACACAGCCCAGAGCCCTTAGCAGTCTCTTGGCTTCTCAAAATACCTGAAAATTTCAGGAGAAATATCTTTATCTAACTCAGGAAAAGTGGGATCAAATTGTATATGATGATGTTGGTTGTTTTACATAAAACACTGGTGGGGGAGGTTAGATGAAGTTCTTCCTGGGGATTTGGATTTCCATTTTCTCTTTGTTTGTTTTGTACCAGAGATTGAACTCAGGACCTTCCTCCTGCGAGGCAGGTGTGGCGCCACTGAGCTCCATCCCCAGCCCTTCCATTTTCTAACCCTTACTGAATCAAAATATAGACTCAGTGATATTCTTCAGAAAATTAATATTGCTTATAGAGAAGTGAAAAATGGGAAATGGGAGAAAATCTCAACTCCATTCATCCTTGCTACCTAGAAATAAATCCTGCTGAAACAGTGAGCCGTAACACCCATGCAGGAGTCTCTCCCACAGCTAGGTTGACTAGGAAGGCAAACAGTCTCCCCCATTCTCTCCACATCTATCTTCCACCATTTCCATTAATTACACCATTATCCAGTCTGCTAAGCAAAGCTCACAAACAGCTAACATTTAGCTGGGAACATTGCTCAATGGTATAGCATCTGTGTTCAATCCCCAACATAGAAAAAAGAAGTAGCATTTAATAGGAAAACTAATAACCAGCTGCTCAACAGTGAGCCCTAGGAGTATTCTATGAGCAAACTTCTCTCCTTTTCATGCTTTGGGTGGCTGCCTGCTATTGGAAAAGCACATGGCTCATACAGCATGGACTCCAGGACCAGGGCTGGAGCTGGCTTAGTCACTGTGCCCATGAACCAGGGGCCGTCCTGACCTCACTCAAGTTTCAGCTTATCATTTGTATAATAGGACAAAGATCTTTTTCTTGTCTCTTTCAGGTCTACTGTGAGGAGTGTCTGAAATAATACACGGAATTTTTTAGCTTTTAAGAACTATGTAAACCTAAGTTAAATGAAGTTTCATCACTTAATACGATATATACAACTATTTTTATTTTCCAGAAAACAGCCCCTCATTTCCCAAAAAAGGGGGAATCCATCCCCCAGCTGAACAACGACAGAGAAGACCCACTTTCAAGCCGTCTCTGCCCACTGCTCACCCGTTCTCAGCAGATCACTTTCTCCTAAGCGGTCACGTACTCCTATCCAGGGCAACTTTCTGTGCTCTTCTCAGTTATATGCACTGTACACTGTTCTTAACACCACCCTCACACGGCTTCTAATCTAAACTATTTCTATACAATGAACTTACCTTCTGAAATTATGTTTGAATCTTCTATAGCATTATCTAAAAACAAACAAACATATATTAACCGAGATCCCTTGAGCAACTAATATCCACTCAGATATGTAAATGTTGCTTTTATTTTTAGACTGGGTCTTCTTATGGATGGATTCATGAATATTTATATCAATTTAAATCTCAATTATATTCAAAGAATGCATTAAATATTATCCCTAATGAAATAAAACTTGTACTATCAATGCAGAATAAACATAATAGTTGTTTTATTTTATTTGCAGGTCCTATATACATAGATTCAACTAACCAAAGATTTTTAATATTTGGAGAAAAACTGCATCTGTACTGAAAGTGTAGACTTTTTTGTCATTATTCCCTAAAAAATACAATATAATAATTATTGACACAGCATTTACATTGCATTAACAAAATAAGTAATGTAGAGATGATTTAAAGTGCATGGGAGGTATGAATAGGCTCCAAGAAAATACTACACCATCTTTTATAAACTTGAGGATCCTCGGATTTTGTTATCTATGGGACATGCTGGACCCAATCTCATTGCAGATGCCATGGACAACAATATTGACAATAACCAATCAATTTCTTAGTAATTTTAAAATGTCTTCTATTTCTCATTTTATCTATTCTTTTACCCACAAGTTATAAAAGCTTTAACATATGAAGTTAAGGGTTGATTTGTAAGTAACATCTGTTTATAGAAAAGAAAAACAAACGCACCTGAAATTTCTATGGGTTTATTTTCTGAAGATTCATATACTATAAAGCAAACAGAAAAAAATAATCCTTTAACACTGCATAACTTTCATGATACCAATAATTAAAAAAACTCATTCCAGGTGTCAGCCTTTGTCTTATTTATAAATATTTGTACCTCCAGGGTTGGTCACTGCAAAACCCAGACTACAGACTGGCAGGGGAAAAGTCTAAATAACTCTGTGAAACAGGACTGGCTTCAAATTCCAGACAGGCCACTATTGGGCCAGAGGAGATGATAAAATCATGTGTCCTGTACAGTGAGGAAAATACAAGCTCCTCCCCCAATCATGTACTTGAAGTATTCAATAATTTCTTTATTTTCAAGTGGCACCAAATTTCCTTTTTAAATTTTTCTTTATGTTTGTGGTTGAGGTTTTGAGTTAACCAAAGCTCAACCCCTCTGATCACCTGGATCTCAGTTTTTAAGCATACAGATTCCCTACTCTGTTGAGGGAACAATTTGCTATTTAACCTGGGGGCAAACACCCCACTATTAGCCTCTGGGAAGGGGTTGGCAGGCTCTTAATTTGCCATGGTAACCAGGGCCCAATGCCCAGCCCTGCTCTCTTCTGCTGGCGAAGGGCTTGGAGCAGCTCTGCTCCAGTGCCAAGAGCTGCTCTGCCCTGCTGCAAAGAAAGCTCCTCTCTGCACACATTCTCCTGTGTCCGGGGACTGGCAGCTTCCTCAACAACTGATTTTCCAGAATGCCTCCAATTTTCTGATATGCTAAGGGCACACATTCTTATTTTTCCCAAATGTTCATGAAGTTATTACTTTTTATTTATTTAGTAAAGAACAATTTTTGAGCACCTATCTTGTAGATATTCTCAGAATTGGGGTTAAATCACTTTGTTGCTTTGATGCCGTTGGGAAGAGGGAGAGGCAGGGAATATGTGTTCACGCCCTCACCTCAGGCAGGATCAGTGTTTAGATACCGACCTTGAAACACTAGACCAGTCCTGGTTCAGGCCTTTTTCCCTTTACCCTTCTTCCTCCATTTTACACTTTCATTTCCTCCAAGAGTCACTGACATTTCGCTTTGAGGTCTCCTCGCACTGCACTTCCCACTCCCATCTGTCTCCCTCCAAGAGCACAACCCTGAAAAGGCTCTTGCTGGGCGGGCCAGGGAGCACTTCACTGAGTTGGATGCATGTTTTCCAGCCCTGCCTTCTTGGATCTCATAGCAACATGCCTTCTCCCCCAACAAGTTCCCACTATGTAGGCTTACATCTCCATTCGCAATCTTCTTTATCATTTCATACTTTTCTTAATGGGTATTAGATGAGGGCTTTCTTTAAAGCCACAAGACCTCTCTCAACCCCCTTTATCTTTTCCTTAAAGGATCCCAGAGCTTGGTTTAAATGATCCTTAAAACCATGAGCTGGATTTCTCTTCTGAGAGAACTGTACCATCAAAAGGATTATCTGATCTCTTCTCTTAGATGTCTCAAGAGCAATGTCATCGTCACATACATGGATCTACACTCCAGCCCCTATTGCTGTCTTCCAGTGAAAAAGTGCCACCAGGCGACAAGTCAAAAGAGGAGTCATAGTTGCTGGGATATTGTTCTTTTTCTACGGCAACCCCTGTATATCAAATCCTGTCAAATTTACCTTCCATGCGTTTCTCAGCTTTGCCCAGTCCCCTTCACTTTTGCTGCCACCACCCTGGTTTAAAGTACTATTAGAGAAATACTTCCTGTTGAGGTCACCCAGGAGGCCGCTCTGGCACAAGACCTCAGTCATGTTTTCGGTGCTTCTTGGACATGGCCCAAAGGAGCTCAAGATCCCAATGAAGATCCCCTTTATGAAACTCACATCCTTGGGCTCTTCCTTGAATACAGAGTGGACTAGGATGACACCGATCACCTATCTCTTCCTACTTATTTTTGTCTTTCTTGTCTATCTCATACACCTCTGAAATATCTGTCTTTTCAAACTGCAGACATGATTTTGTGGTGCCCGGGAGGCATCTCGAGGTGAAGATGACGTCTGCGACCTCGCCTGCAGGTCTCCTCGGGAGCTGGACAACGGGCCACCAGGGCCACACCGCTCTGCTCACTCTCACACACCCATGTCAGAGACTTCCGGCGACAGTGCAGCCACCTTCCACCAGCTGTCTCAGCCGGAAACCAGGTAAGGCCTCTTGGAGACATCAGTTACAGACTACCCTGGTCCTCACCAGCACTCACCACAGCTGTGATAGAATGCTACTGGGAAATTATTTATCACTTTCTGTCTCCCTGCTGAAATAGAAGATCCAGAAGAACAGAGACCACGAGCTCCCTCACTAGAGCTGCTGCAGTATTCTAGGTTTGGGATACAAGATAACAAGTATGCAGTGTATGAACAAATAAACCAATTAAGACAGTTAAAACTACAACTTCACTTCCCAAGTCTGGGGTTTTCTAGGGTATTTGTGATGTGAGAAGCTAGGATCTGTGAACAGCGCTATCAAACCACGTGGTTTTTGGTTCAGGAAATGGAGAGTTTAATACAGACTATTGTATATTCCAATCTCCCACTGAAGTAGTTTTGCTTCTCTTCCACTTAATAGCTTCACTTAATATGCCAGTTACTTGGTTTCCAGAATTTGGTTACTGAATTTCCACACAGGTGTATTTTTCGTGTATAGTGAATAATCTTCTGTTTGATTAGACCTATTGTGTTGGAAAAAGTTTATGTTCTATACCACGATGACTCACAGCATCCTACCAAATCTTGATGCTCCCCTTGATCATACTCATTACCTTTTAATATTTTAAAGTATATTTACTACGATACTCTGCCTATGAAAATATATTTAATTTACAATACTTTAGCATGTTACCTTATTTTATACCTCCTACAAGTGTGATTTTAAATTTCTCTAGATCTAGCCTGTAAAATGCATTCCAAACATATTTTAATATTTTTTTAAAACATGGCAATGTTAGGTAGAAATAAGAAAAATATCTCAAATCTCACCTCTACATACAACTTTTTATTTCTAAATTTCTATTTTCTCCTCCAAATTCAAGACTGAAAAAATTTAGGGCAATCTTACTGGCCAACGTCTTTAACCTGTTATAAAAAGGATAGGTACCTTAAGATGATCCAAAATTCTTCAAATTTATACTTCATTCGTCACTATGGCTCTTGATAGGGTCTTAAGTCTTAAACGCTTACTTAAAAATTAGCACATCAATTCTACACACAGGAACATCTAACGTTTTTCAATTGTGCCTCACCAGCTAACATGGAACTACAAATTCTTTGAAAGTACAGACCCTATGTGACTCATATTTGAATTCTGAGTCCTAAATGCATCTAGATCATAGACTACTCAATTTAACCAAGATTCACTTCTTTATCCTTTATACACAAAGTTATACTAAGTTGACTTTCTTCTTTTGACACAGTAATTTTTAAAGACACTGGAAGTAAAAAAGAAACATCATTGGCTCTATCATTTCTTAGCTATACAAACTTGGGCAAATTATTTACTTTCCGTAAACCTTATTTCCCTCAGCTGGGAGGCAGGGAAAATACAATCTACTTCATGGAATTCAATAAAATAGTACATGAAATGCTTGGAAGACAAGAGCAGTAACAAGTGCTTAAATCTGAATAGGATGCTGCTAACGCCAAAAGTTTGACAGAACTATTTCTTCCACACTGCTGTTAAGCTTGAAGCCAGAGTTTTCCTAACATGATAAATCAGTCACCTCTGAGAGCGAGATTAATTTGTAGAAACAATTAGACTAAAGTATATGCTTGTGACTATTTTAAAAGAGAGAGAACTGTAAAATAATGAGATTTTTTTGGAATAATTTGTAATTGCCCCACAAGATAACTTGTGGAAAGTTTAAGGAATTATTTAGACAAGGGCACAACCACTAGTGTAGTTAACAATCTCCCCCAATGAATTCTCTGCAAACCATCATTTATTTGGATGTTTTACGTTACAGTGTTTATAATGTGAAACATAATTATCAGTAATTTATAGGCAAAATATAGGTCTATTTTTAAACAATACATAGTTTAAGCTTAAGAAGCATTTCCACACCTTGTTCATCGTAGTCTTGGTATGTTATGTCATCTGGGAAGGAAAACAGAAAAGAAAGGAGAAAGGAGGGAGAGAGAAGCAAAATAAGTATTAATAAGTCATTAAAACAACTTAGCTTTAAAAAAAAAATCCCTTGCTGTAAAATATAGATTTCTTTTCCTTTCAACATCAATGTCTGTGCTGTTAGCAATACATGCTTCACCCAAAATCAACAAAAGAAAAGAAAGAGTAGGTAAATTATATTCATAAAAATTCCTCAGAGCAAGATAAACAAAATTAGCATTAGGATTTAACATCTTGTTATGATGTGTTGGTAGATGAAGTGAAATATAAATGCCTATTATTTTAATAAGCCAATGTCGTTACAAAAAAATCTTGTGAAAATCATTTCTCTATTTCTTTGAAAGAAAAATCACCATGTGATTTTTGCAACTGCAACTGAAAAACCTAAAGTAATATTTAAAATCCACTGAAAATGCTTATCTGATACCTGTTTCTTGCTGCAACCTTTCAGCATCGATTAGTGGTTCACTGGAATCTGAAATGAAAAAATATTCACATTTGCCAGCATGAAAAACTACTTACAATTACCAGATTTCATTCTCCAAGATTTACAGTCAAATTCTCCCCTATAATATCTTGTAAGACAGACACTATTATCATTTAATGAAATTTAAACTGAGCAAAGTTTTAGAATTTGCTAAATTGCAAAGATGGGATAAAGTAGGATTTTCACCCACCCCAAGTCTACTATATTACAATGTGTCTTCAATGTCTGTGTACAAAGACCAAAATCCAAATGGTGACCACAAAAATGCATTTCCCTTTTTCTACATTTCCTCGTGTAATATTCAACTGTATTCAGAAATTTCTGGAAATATCTACAGAATAAAAAGTTATTAAAAGTGTTATGAACAGACCCTAAATTGAAATGGCCTTGGCCACTGTCTCAAAACAGAAACACAAATCATTAGTTTTTATATTCACAAACCTGAGTTTTCTTGGCCATACATTATCTCTTCCATATCCTGGTGATGGTCTTGTGAAACTATAAATTAGGAAATAATTAGGAAATTTAAAATATGTCTCAAGGATTGTTTGACATTAGAAACTAGAAAACCATAATTTCTGGTAATGACAGGAGTGTAAAATCAAAACATAATGACAATAAATCATGTTCATTCATGGAACCAGGAGATATTAACCACACATAATACTAAACACAAAGATGAATTAGATGGTTCTCGTCATAAGGATTTATAATCAAATCACAAAATAGTAGAGTTGTATTTTCATTTAGCAGAACAGATTCAAGTACAGTCGGCAAATAAAATCAAAGAAAGGCAAAAATCCAAAGACAGCTGTACAGAAGAGTCCTCCTCTCACCCATGCAAAAGCACCTGTCACAATGGAGTCTGAGGAAGCACACACATAGCCCCAGACTCAATGCCTGAGTCCTCTACATGGCGTTTCTCCCAAACTAGAATAGAGTTCTGTTCAGACAGTGTTAAAGCATTCAGACAGTAAGGGCAGTCAACAACACTACAAGGTGCTCAAGCACTACTGAAGGTAATGTGTCCATCTCTAGAGTGGCTGTGTTTTGCGGGGGATGTGCCATGACAAAACACAATTTTGACCCTTCACTGACTTTTTAATTTATGGGTACAAAGCATGCAATTCCACTGCACCTTTGACCAAGTAATCCTACTACTAGGAATTCATCCACAGGAAACAGACTTCAAAACAAAATCTGCATTCACAAAGATGCAATTATATGAAAATATATAACATTATTAACTATATACTTGTGATGTATTAATTTTTAAATATTAATAAACAATAGATTCGTATACTGGTCATAATTTTTATATATATACATATAATAATGTTCTGTTAAAGACTCATTCTAATTAAGAAAGAATAGTATTAAGGCCTTACCTGTCTCTTCCACATAACTATCTTCAGTGTCTAAAAAAAAAATTGGATTGATATCACTATTTTAATGAAATGGTACATATATATTCTCCATGTCTATTTTGAATCTATGCTTATTGGTTTACATTAAAATTGAAAAATTATTAAAAATGAAAATATCTGCTTAATAGAACTATATTCAACATACTCACAAAGCTGACAAACACCATACTCTGGGGTAAAGTGAGTGATTTATACACAGTGACACAGACATAAAGGCTGGACCCAGGGAAAATGCTAATTCTTGGTCCACTTCACATTTCACTGTGGTGCTCCATTTTCTAGCACCATCCTACCAGTTTCTGGAGCATAGTACATCGTCTCCAAATGCGGACACAAAAGAAGAATGGAGGACAATTTATGTTTGGAAGCTAAGCAAAAAAATGTGTGGATAACTTAACCCATATACACCAGAAAGTAAAGTGGTCACCACATGAACCTTGCCAAGCTTGAAACCTGTCTCATTTAAGAGATGTATACAGTGTAAATATTTTTAGTTTCTGAAGACTTCCAACAAAATTCAAGTTTCTAACTTCAAACTAAATCTATGTCCCAACTGAACATTAAGCCAGAAATAAAGATTTCTCCAACCTATAAACTTCCTAGGAATATTTCTTCCTATCCTGATCTGTAACTCTTTTTTTTTTTTTTTTTTTGGTACCAGGGATTGAACTCCGGTCCTTGCCTTTACAAGGCAGGCGGCGGAACCACCAAGCTAAATCCCCAGCCCTGTAACTCTTAACTTTAAAGATATCAAAGTCTTCATGTTTCTGAATATTTGGGCATTTTAACTGAAATTTGTTGGATAAGCAGCATATATATACAAAATTCTGAGTGACTGTCAATCTTGCTGAAGCATCTAGGCTTACGACAGGAGAGAACGATACCAAGAGAATGTGAAAATCACTTGAGCAGCACCCTTATTCAGAAATCAGAAACATTTTTCTCACAGAAATCATGACATTAAGTGATAATGTGGTCATAAAGCCAAGACATGAAGGTCTAATGCTCTAAACACCTAATATCAGTGTATAAGGCAGCTAAAATTATATACATTCTCCACAGGATTTTTACAAAAATTTGCATAATATACAATTATGTATACCATCCATAACACTATAATGTCAATTATATCACTATTTGTATGGGACAGTGCATTTCTGGCTTGAAACAACAGATTTTAGACAGAGCTTTTAGACATGTATCCACTCAGTTATGAGCTGCCTACTTTAAGTAATTTCCCAATATATTAGGTGTGGTGAGAAGTAGACACACTTTATTTTTTATTACTTTTATGCTTTAAAAAAAGTTCTTGTAGGGGCCTGGGATTAGCTCAGTGGTTCTGCCACCTGCCTCGCAAGTGCAAGGTCCTGAGTTCGATCCCCAGTACCAAAAACAAATTTAAAAAGTTCTTGTAACCACATGCAGGCTATATTGTACAGAATCAGTAAATGAAGGTATATAGAAAGCCAGCCACATTTAGTCATTTAAACATGGTAGATGGCTGCATCTCACTATGCTAGCAGAGGTGGCCTTTGCAAAACCCAAAATATTTATGATCTGGCTGTTTTAGAGAAAAAGCTTGCCAATATTTAGTATAGAAGTTAGAATGATATTCTAGAGCTTGTAATTACAGAGTTTGTATAAGAACAAGAGGGAATAATAGGTTGTCAGGTCAACTGTTCCATTCCATCAGCTGGGTGTAACAAATGCCACCCTGGGCAGGAGAATACAATAAAAGTACTTTGCAGAGGTGTTTCACTCACCTGTATGAAAAATTTGTATATTCTGAGTTTTCTTTAGAAGTGCACTGAATCAAATCTTGATTGTAGAGAAATATTTTAATTGAAGCTTTAAGCTTCAACTTCAAAAACATTTTGATGAACTTTAAATACTGCTTTAAAGGGGTTTAAGACAAATGTCAATAGGTACAATTACAGCTGTTGCATTTTATGTTGAAGCCAAATAAGTATGCTCTACCTTCATGAAATGTTTCAGATTCCAGGACCTCCAATCTATCACGGACATCAGACGCAGTGAGGAAATCACCATCCTCCAGCTGTAGTTCTCCTGCTGGCCCCTCCTCTTCTTGTGGCAGGTCTTCTCCTTCACCAAGGGCAAGGAACAGAGAGACGTGGGTGTACAGTGAAGAGCCAGCAACAGCTGTCAACTCAGATGCAGAAGCCCTCGGGAAGGAGGACCAACGTAATTCCCTCTCAGGGGTACTGCAGGTTCTGGGGTCTACCCTGAAGCTATTTTTCAACTCTAGCCAGATGTTAGTCAGCCTAAAAGTAAACAAAATGTGGACATGCACATCCCGAGTTTCATTTGCTATATATACATATGCCCAGCACCTAGGGCCATGCCTAACCATAGAGAGGATTCAATAAATATTTGATGAATGAATTCATAATTATGACTATACATGCCTCCTCAATTACCACTGGATCAGAGAAAAGGTCACATTATGACCTTTTACTGAAAACTGACATAAAATTCCTTGTAACAACTTTAAATGACTATTCAAATGTTCTAATGCAAAGAACATATAGTTGCTTATCTAAATCAGATTCGAGGTCAGATTCACCTGTATTATCCTGTGCATCTGAGCTATCCTAGTTTTAATCTCTAGTCAAGGAAAGATGCATATCTTGTTTTCTATGATTAGCTTCTACAGTACATTTAATTCTGCTTTTGAGTGGACAGGGTACACTATTCCACTGCAGTATAATTTAGATTGTTAGTGTGCCTAAAAATTATCCTCATAGTAACATGACATGGCTTCCAGCAGAGAAGCTCCTGTAAATAACACTCTTAACTAAAAACCTTTAATGAGCTGGGCCAGGCTATGCGAGGCAGCACAGTGATGAGTGTAAGGTCTGGAAGGGTTGGCTCTGGACCAAGGCACTTTCATAGCATCTCTGTGATCATGCACAAATTAACTACTCTGTGCCTGTGCCTGAGCCTGAGATCTCCTTTCTATAAAATGGCAATAATAATCACCCATTCCTGACATGGTTGTGAAGTTTAAAGCACTCAGAAAAATGCCTGACCCACCTTAAATATTTAGGTGTTTTTGTTGTCTCACTATAGTTATAACCATATTACTGTTTCTGCTGCCATTGAATTTTCTACCACAGTTGCAGGAAGTGCTTACTCTGCCTTTAGTATGGCATAGTGAGGCTCTCAAGTATACTTAACCATGCAGGCCTATTTATGAAGACATTATTTATAGTAGTTTTCCCCTTACCTGTGGTTTTGCTTTCTGAAGTTTTAGTTACTCATGGTCAACCACAGAATGAGAATAGCATGTGGAAAAATTCTAAAATAATTAATTCATAAATATTACATTATGCATTGTTCTGAGTAATATGATGAAATCGGGAGTCATTCCTGTCTCATCTCCTTGGGATATGAATTGCCACTTTGTCTAGCAAATCCATATTATCTATGTGATCTCCTCCTTAGTCATGTAGTGGCCATCTTAGTTATCAGGTCAAATGTCATGGTATTCAACTGCTTGTGTTCAAGTAACCCTTTTTTACTCAATAATGGCCCAATGCACAAGAGTAGTGATGCTGGCAATTCAGATGTGTCACCACTGACAAGGTGTAATGTGCTTCCTTTAGTGAAAATGGTGAAAGTCTATGACTTAAAAAAAATTCATATACTAAGGTGGCTAAGATCTACAGTAAGAACAAATCTTCAGGAAATTGAGAAAGGAAAAGAAATTTTTGCTAGTTTTCTTGTTGCATCTCAAACTGCAAGACAGAGTGATCAAGAGAAACTCCTAGGTTTTTAGTTTATACAATGCCTGGGTGAAAAAGCTACTAACTAAAACACGAAGGGCTAGAGTAGGAGCAATTTGGGCTGGGGGAAGGGGAGAGCCAGGACATTTGTGACAGGGAGGAGAGAAGAGTTCTGTATTGTGTAGGTTCAGTCTGAGACACCCACACAGCCTTCAAATGGAGACATCCAATAGACAGGTAGATGACGCTGGGGTTTAGATGAGTCATCAGGGCTGCAGCTATACAGTCAGCAGTCACAGCAGATAGATCATACTGAAAGCTATGGACTGTCCCTATGACTGTCTAAGGAGAAAATCTCTATAAAAAAGTACAGGACCAAGAAGGTTCTTTCCTCTTCTGCTTAGCCACCATCCCTACACACTTAAATTCCTGCTGTCTTCTCTCTGCTGTCCATCTCCACATTTGAGTCTGATGAAACATCTAGACTCACTAGGGTTACCATACAACCTACTCTAGCTGGCCTCCCTGCTGCACAGTGGTCCCTCTCATCTATTTTTTTAGGTTTCAGGAAGGATGCACAATAATCCTGAACACTTCTTGAATAAAGTATAAATATTTTGACATTCTTTTTCCCTCATCACTCTCCACTTATGCATCCCATATACTGGCCATTCTGAATGTCTTTCATACTATTTTTTTTGGCACTACTAGAAATCAAACCCAGGGCCTTCACATCGAGCTATATCCTTTTAATTTTTTTTTCATTAAGTTTATGGGTACATTTTAGGTATACAATACAGTTATATTCCTCATTGGGATCTTGTACCTTTACATGATGTATCTTAGTTTTTATTTTTCCCCCATTTCCCTGCCCTCTCTTCACCCCCTCCACCCTTCCCTATTTACAAAGATTTTGTTTCCATTTTTTTCTTTTCTCATATTTTTTTCTTTTCCCTTCTTTCTTTTCCCCTACCCCTCCCACTTCCCCTACTCCTTTAGACTTTTTCTTCCTATTTCACAATATCAATTACACATTTTGATCCTTGTTTACACTTTCAGTTTTTCGGTGTTTACACATGTGTGTCCTATTTATTTCACTTAAGAGTATGGCCTCAATATGCATCCACTTAGCTATAAATGCCCAGACCTTTTACTTTTTTGAGACAGGGCCTCATAAGTTTTCCAGGCAGGACTCCCACTTTCTCCAACTTTTTTTTTCATTGGATCCTGGAGAATCCAATGCTTCTCCTTCCTCAGTGCTGCCATAATCGGCATGTGTCACCATGTCTGGCTTCCCACTCTTGCCTCTGGGCTTTCACACATGCTGTGCCCTCTGCTGACTACTTTGGCCAGCAGACATTCTATATCATCTTTCAGCTTCTAAATGAAGATGTCATTTCCTTCAAGAAGCCTCTTAAAAGCCCTAAATCTTGGTAAGCTCCACAGAATATCACTGTTTCACCATAATAGTTCTTTCCTCATCATAATCAAATTATTTATTTAGATTCAACCTTCCTTGTGTTAGGTTAAAAATTAAAAAAAAAAAAAAAAGCTATAGGAAGAGGAATTCTGCACTTGCTCATATGGGCAAATGTACTTCTAGGCAAAGTGTTTTCCTAGTTACCAAGAAGCTTGTAAATTAAAGGACATAGGTTCCTACACCACCACCAGCCATCAGGAACATCCAGTTCAAATGCTAGGGAATTATTTTTATAAACACAAGTTACTTTTCCCCCTTTACAGCTACTCTTGGACCACATCAAACCATCAGGAGTATTAGGATACCACAGCATCATGTGTCTTTGCAATTTTTTTCTGGGTTACATTTTAGAGCCATGTTCTCTGCTTTTATCAGACTGCCACACCCTTAAAACACTGGTTTCTGGAAAAACATTTAATATTCTTTCTACAGATCTCAATGAGAGGAATTTTTTAGATCTGAGTGCTGGTAGAGTATTTTTATGTTCTCTAAGGAGACAGTGTGCTTTTGGCCTCTCTAGGAGTATCACCAATAAAACTAAATTTCTGCTTTTTTATTTTGGCAACCAGCCAAACATGAAATAAAGTTCAAGGCTTGACAGCAGCTACTGGATAACCTATCATAGCTTGCTTGTGTTCCATTTTTCTCTGCTCTGTTTTCCCCATCTATTTGTGATGAATCACTGCTTTCAATTTGCTAATATTCAGGTGTTCTTATTTTCTGAGACAAGATCTTGCTATATAGCCAAGCTAGACTTAAACTTTCAATCCGCCAGACTCAGCCTCCCATGTTCTGGGAATACAGCCATGTAACACCATTGAGTGGCTTCTCACCATTTTACTACTAGGTGTGCTCAGTAAGTTGCTTCATAGCGAGGTTGGGTAAAATAAAGTATATCTAGTGCTATTTCAAAAATACTATTCTCTAGTAACTAGTGAGTGGTTTTTTAAAACCTCAAATAGCCAATTAACATTTAAATTTTAAAATAATGCCTAAGTAACTTTATGTAAACACTATTTTAGTAACTTATGACAAAATAGATTTTAATTCATACCATGTTCTGTATGTACCATTTCATGAAGAACGGACTGAATTTGTTCTTTTACTTCATCTTCAGTATCCTGGGGTTCTAAAATAATTATAGAACATTACTAAGTAGAAAATACTTAAACATTAATGAGGAACTTTAACATTCAAATATAGCATTTGTGCATATACATTAAAATGAGTGTATTTGGCTAAGCAACTGTGCATCTTTTTCTTATCAGTTTATCACTTTTTCCCTGCATTGATAAATGTGTTAGACATTTACAATTGGTTTTATTTGGTTAGTAAATATAAATGTTGACTCCTATTAAGATTTCTAAAGAAAAAATTAATTTGTGTATAGATTTTTCTTTAAAAAAAACTCATTAGGCTTCAGTTTCTAATTAATAAAATTCATACTAGTGATAGAATGAAAAGAGGACAAAGCTTTCACAAAGGGAAGTACTTGGAAATAAAGACAAAAATATGAAACATAAAATCAATAAAGATTAGAGAATATGATACCCCGTGTCCCCTGGCAGGCAGGAGAAAGGGTACCCTTGCCAGTGAGGGTCCAGAGTAATGAGAGTTGGTGGAACACTCCCAGAAGTCTACTAGTGAATCGATAACCTTACATCATCACCAGTGGTCCTTTCAGCTTTGCAGAACCACATCTGACACTCGGATCTGTATATTCAAATAAATGTGAGCAACAAAAATGAACATGATTGACGACATGCTTACAACACTATACTTCTTGGGGGGATATCAGATTTACTGCAATATCACACAACAAATAAGAAACTATAATTACATTTGACACTGTTATCAACTTTCTATCTAACAAAATATAATGTTTGTTCACTGAATGAAAGCACCATTAGATTGGGTCTTGGTATCATAAATGCTGTCATATGAAATAATGTCAGTGACAATAGCAGTATGTGAAAGAGCTAATCTTCAGTGACAAGAAACAAAATAAATTAATTTGAACTTCAGGGAGTGAAAAAGTTTAAGTACAGTATTCCTATGCTAATCATATAACAAAACCATTTCTAAAGCATAAAACCCACATTTTTATAGATGTTTATATTTCACAAATCATCTCTGTATATATTCTGGTCAATTACTGAAATGTCTGGCCTCCATTCTTCCCTGCCACCTCCCATGATGTCTATGACGTCTACAACGGCTTTGTAAGTGGACTCCCAATCTCACAGCTGTGGACAGTACCAGCCGGAGAGAACGCAGTGTGCAGTGAGCAGGAGGAGTGTGAGCTGCTAGTAGAGGGTGGTGCTCTCTGCTTCTTTGCTTAACCCTTTGATGGTTCCCTTTGCCCCAAAGTGAAAATGTACACTCCATGGGAAAGAATTTAAGTGCTCTAAAACTAGCCCCTCACACACATTTCCAGACTCTTCTACTAACAGAACTGGCTTTGTTTGAATTTAGCAAGTGTACTATGTCATTTCATGTTTCCATAGTCTTGTCAATGTTCTTCCTCTCACCTAGAGAGGATTAATAAGCCAGACTGCACTGAGTTAAAGAATGAGGATATGAAGAGAAGGCAGAGAAAAAGAAACAAGGACCAAAGCCTTCAACCCAGAAGCGTAAAATGGACAGGGTCCTTATGGTAGAGAAAGAAAAAAGGTGAAACTATGAATGTGTATTTTTTTCATAATCACTAACTTTAAAGCAGTAGTTCTTTAATTTACGGTCTTCATAAGATGCACTGTACAATCCTCAATTATCATGCCATTCAAAGACGTCAGGTTCATCTGTTTATTAAGCTAGAAATATAGTGTGTACTTTCACTTTTTAAAATAGCACAGCTGTGCTTAAATTTTTTATCATTAACACTTGAATAAAATAGCGTTCATTTATTTAAAAAATAGAATGTAGATTAACAAGGAAAAAGGTTTCTGTACAGTCTTCTTCCAAAAGCCTGCCTATTGTACTGATGAGAGGGCTGAGGTGGCAGAAAGGGGTCAAGAAGGGATTAAGTGCTTTATTTAATTATATTTTTATGAATTACATAACTGTGTTTACAGAATGAAGAAGTTAGTGAAGAAAGAGAAATTAAGGGCAGAATAAGAGAAAGGTTTAGAGGCAACACTGAAACCAAAACAAATATTGCCCAAGTTGAAAAGGATATGGGCTAATAATAAACCAACAGATTATGGAACTAGATTGTCAATAACTTACAATAGTAATATTAACAATACATGAAGAATAGAAAGCAAATAACATATTTGTATTGGCTTTAAAAACAAGATTTTTAAAATTATAAATTCACTTAGTACAAACTAAAATGTGAGGCATTAAATCCAAATACACATTTAATTATAAAACTACTTTTTAAAAGAACCAATCCTTCTTCCAGAGCCATGATATAATCATGGCAATTTCACAGGAAAGGGAAGGAGAAAACAAATTCTTCTAGGATTATTACTGAAAAATAATAAAACTTAGGGCAACATACTAATCTTAAAAGAAAATGGAAGGAAAATCTAAATTCATCAGTATCCTTTGGATTCAGTATTTAAATTGCCAGTGAACATTTAATGTCATAACTGAACACTTCCAATAGGTGGCACAATGAGACCAAATTTTTGAGAACTAGTATATAAATGAAAAACTACACAGAAGCGTATACAGTATTTTAAAATAAATGAGTAAGGGCCGGGGATGTAGCTCAGTGGCACCGTGCCTGCCTTGCAAGCGCAAGGTCGTGAGTTTGATCCCCGGTACCAAAAAAGCAGAAAAAAAAAAATTAAATAAATGGGTAAAAAATGGTAGCAAAAGATTAAAATTTCATTTACTAATTTATTAAAATATTTTAAGATTTCCTAACCTATGAGGTCATAGACCCTAGGGAGACTACAGAAATAATGTGACTCAATCTATAAATCCATCTAAATACAAAACAGGTTTCACAGTGTATCACAAGGAGATCTGGAGATTTTGGTGCCAATAAGAAGACTTGGAATTCATTACTTCTATTTTATTGAATCCTGTGGCAAATGATGCCGACATCAGTGTGGTCATACTGTCAACATAATTTCAGACAATAGTGCTGGAATTAGAATGAAGAAAGAAATGGATCCTGCTGTTCCTGGCTAGTGTGTGTCCGGGCAATAAACAAAATGTCTGCAGCTTATATTCTTCATCTTGAAGACTTAAAATTATCCTTTGCAAAATTTTACTAGGAAAAATGTAGGTTTATTTTAAAGTTTTAGAAAGAAAACATAAACCAGGCGCGATGTTGCATACCTATAATCCCAGCACTGGGAGGCTGAGGCAGGAAGATTGCTCTGAGTTCGAGACCAGCCCTGGGCTACATAGTGAGTTCAAGGCCAGCCTGAACTACAGTGAGACCTCATCTCAAAAAAGCTTAAAAAACCCCACCATAATTCATATTTCTGTAAACAATGTGCAACGTACTGTAGGTAAAACAAGATTCTGTACATTGCAAAGGACACCTGCCAGGCTAGGTACATTGTGCTGAGACCTGAGGACAACTTACCTGTCCCCAAGGGAAACTGGTCCTCTGGCTCAGTGTGTGGCTCAGCCTCTGCTGGTGGGAACTTCGGCTCTGAAGCAGCTCTCTCTTTAAGGCCTGCATTTTTTATTCACAAAGTTAACTTAAGCTTTTTAATCTTTTTGACACATTAAATCAGGAAAAATAATATTCTCAAACATTTAATTAGTGCACGTAATTCAGTTTCTAACATTACATGCTTAAAAATTGAAGTATGAAACCATTTGCTCTGTAACTCTATATGGGCCTTTAATATTTCTACTTTGCACTTAAAATATTAAAAAGTATTTCATTCATGAATCTTTAAAATATAAAGATTTTATATGACTAAACTTGCAAAAGAAGTTCAATATGAATTCAAACTTCTTTTGTGTTTATGTGACTACTTCCTAAGTCCTGAGCTCAGAATTCAGTAATGAGACCACTGTGCTGCACTTGAACTTTGGATGATTTGTGTGCATTCTTTTGATTTTTGTGTATTTATTTATTCTTCTTGAAAAACTATAGTTACAAAGAGATCACTTATGCCTACTTACAATTTTCTCATGGTTACACCTACATGTACTGAAGTTATATTTTTCTATATGAGCTAAAAGATATTGGGAGAAAAAGTCCTTTTTAAAAAAGAAATCCTAAGACGGCATGAGTAAATTAATATGAAAACTGATTTTAAAGTTAATATCAATCTAAAATTTATTATAGATCTATTATATAGTTCTTTGCTATAATATAGATTATATTAGTTCTTTGATACTTTACATGCACAACATTAAAATGTATCAAATAATTATTACTATTTAGAAAACTAAACTAGGACCAGGAGCCTGGTTCTGTTGAGTATATCTTGGGCTTTTCCCACCTGTTGTGAATCTCATACCTAGTGTCATTTTCCAGGAATCACCCTGCACATGGTTGTGCTCTGCCATTAAAAGGGTGCAGGCCAAGTGTTGAGAGAGGGTTCCTAACCTTAAACACCCATGTACAACTGGGGATTAACCCCAGGCCTTCCACACTGAGCTACATCCGGAGTCCTTTTTAAATCTGTGAGACAAGGTCTCTCTCAATTGCTCAGGCTAGGATCAAACATGCGATCTTCCTGCCTCAGCCTTTGTTGCATACATGACTACAGTCTGGAAATTTCTCATTTCAAAGTCTTGTACTGTTTTATTCTTTGTATTTTCCTTATCGTTCCCTTTTCCATACCTCATTTTTCTTCCAGTAAAAAAAAAAAAATGCCAAATTCATCTTCCCAAATCCTAGAGACAGGGATAGTAGGCAGGATCTACTAGCCACATCACTTACATTTCCTCTGCTTACCTGTTTCCAACACTAAGTCCACACAAAACCAAACAATAGTAACACAAAAACCAACATATAGTTGTCTTCTATATTTAAGTGTAAACCTCATTATAAAATTGATTAAAAAGGAACATACATAAATATCCACAGATCCTAACTGTGGTTCAATTTATCCAAGGGTAGGGATGAAGCCCTCATAAAATTCATCACAGATTAATTTAAATACAGGGCTGAAATACTCTGCCCTTTCCCATTTAAATAATTCACTTTTACATCTCTCAACTGTGGGGTGGGACAGGTTTGCAAACTATTCATTGCCAAATTCTGCTGAATGAAGGGGGAAAAGGTTGAAAATCCTTAGTAAGTATGTTTTATCTTTGTACTCTGAGCATTTCAGCTAACATCTGGCATAGAACAGTTGCCCCAAAAAACCTGCAGAGACTGAAAGAAACGGATTTCTTGTGCCCACTCCCCTAAACTGCCTGCAGAAGTCCCTGCAGGCCCAGGACTCTTGATGGCACTGGATTGGCTCAAGGCTTGCAGGTGGGAAAGGGATTCACATCAAGTTCCCTACTACCATTCGCTCAAGATGCACATCTCTGCTCCAGCATCCATAAGTTCAGCACCACAGGCCTAGTTTGCTTTGCACAGTCCTGGTTCGTGTCCGTTGTCCTTGAATGATCATTTCACTTTCAAGAATTTTTCATTTTGAATGAAAACTTACAGTGTCATCTTTCCCTGACCACATATGCAGTATGCTTTCAAAATGTGCACCACGAGTAAAATAAACAATTTTTTCCCCATCAAACAGTAAAGATTAGAGGCAAACCACTTTCTGGTCCCCTTTCTGTCTCACTTAGAAGCTATCTTTCTCTGATTAAAATTTTCCTACCCTTAAAAAAAAAAAAAAAACAGGGCTGGGGATTTAGCTCAGTGGTTTTGCCGCCTGCCGCGCAAGCCCAAGGACTCAAGTTCAATCCCCGGTACCAAAAAAAAAAAAACCAAAACAGTAAAGATTATACTGCCCGAAAATTTCTTTCTTACTGAATTTGGAGAAAGGTTTCATTTGGAAAAAGAATTCTAATGATAAAGTGCCTGAGGCTACTTGAATACAAATATTCAGACATGCAGTGCTTTTAAAAGTCAGCTTTCATTAACTCAACTGGGCTATTTGTCTTCAAAAGCAAAATAGTAAAACATGTGAAAAATATAATGAAACAAAATGAGGCACATAACTGCAGAAAATATTGTGCAGTTTTCTTTTAGATCCAAAGTGGTAGTTGAACTGTACACTTATTAATAAAAGGCAGGGGAATGGGGAAAAAAAAAAGAACCAAGATACGTCATGTAAAAGTATAAGATCCCAGTGATGAATGTAACTGTATTTTATACCTAAAATGTACCAATAAGCTTAAAGGGAAAAAAAAAGTTGTTTCCAGAGGTAAAATCAGCAAAAAAATTAATAATAATAATACTAAATGGTACTGTAAACTTCAGAGAAACTGATGATCATGTATCTTCTCTAGACCCCTATAAACTTTTGAAACTTAACAAAAGATGTTCTAGACTGGAATTGCTTTAATAACCATATGAAACAATTAGCTCTACAAGCTTTTATGCTACTTTTATTTCCCACCCAAATTCTTTTTGGTTTATGACTTGAGGTATAAAGCAAACAATTAAATGAAAAACATAAATAACATAATAGATCAACTCCAACTCGTAATCAAACAAAAGGTTTTCAAGCTGGGTTTATTAGGAAGTACAAATGATAAGTACATAGGACTAGAATAAATATTCAAAAATACATTTTGAAATGTGTCTATTTTCATGTTCCTGGGGCTATATACATAACAAAGCATCAACTTGCAATACGAAGATTTATTACCTAAGTTAACATGGAGACCAGAGGCAGGGTAGCTGGGTCTCAGCACTGGCTGCATCCTCAGACCAGCAATGTTTCTTTCAGACAAGATGATGTTCATATACAAAAGGATACTTCTTGCTGTTTCATTCTTAGATTTGAGGAAATCTTTTTACATTCCCAGTAGTCTTTCAGTTTTAATAGAACCATGACCATTTCCATTCCTGAGCCAGCACAAGGTACAGAATGATCACAGATCCCTTTTGATCCTTACCTAGGGATGAATGCTGTGAGGCCACTGTAATGCCCATGACATGATTTGGAAAATAAACCAATTCCCTTCAAACATGCTGTTTTTATAGGTTCACTACAAAAATTTTAAATGTTGTATTTAATAACTATGGAATTGTCACCCCAATTTTAATTAAAAATGGAAGAAGGTATAAAAAGTTAATTAAGTCAGCACTTTAGACTCATCATTCATAGCAATCTTGATCATCCAACACAATTACCCTGGTCCAGTATTAATTTACTTTATTCACCACTGCCCAACATAGCAGATCAGAATGAGAAGGAACAGATGTATTTCTTCCCATACGTGATAGGTGTAAACCCACTAAATTGCACATTGGATTCATTCATTCAAAAAATATATATTTAGCACCTATCAATGAAGGGCAGTGTTTTATATTAATAAACAATACAAAACACCTACATTGTGGGGAAGAGAGCAAGTTAAAGCATTTGTGGTCTATGAGATGAGGACTGACAGTAAGAGGAAGATGAGTGGTGAGGGCCAGGCTTAAGGGAAAGACAGAGTGGCTATTTACAATATAATGGGTGAGGAAAGACTCACCAACTACCTGTCCATGGACTTCTGAGGGAAATCTGGATGAGGCCAAGAGTTATACTGGGAATTATCAGGTAGAGGTGACGATAAGAATAAATCTCCTCAGGTGGCTGGGTAAGCAAGGTAGCTGATGCAGCAGGAGAGAGGTCAGTCAGGGTGTGAGCTCCAGCAAGGCCCTGGGACCTGGGGTCACTCTGAGTGAGCATGAAGGGCTCACTTTCCCTAAGGACTATGGTCATCCCTCAGTATCCATGAGAGATGGCTCTAGGACCCCAACACCAAAATCCACAAAATGTACAATCCTTTATCTAAAATGAGGTATTTGCATATTATCCACATACTTCCTCCCTGTACTTTAAAATATCTCTAGCTCACTCACAACAACTAATGCAATGCAAATGTTGGGTAAATAAACTGTATTGTTTCTAGAATAAAGGCAAGAAAAAGTCTACACATGCTCAGTACAGATGCAAATTCTTTTTCTAAATATTTTCAACCCATGATTAGTTGAATCTGTGGATATGGAGGCTGAGGGTGTGGAAACAACAGGTACAGAGTCGACTGGACATGTAAACTCCCTCCATAAAATCTGGGAGGGAGCTATCAACAGCGTTTTGTTTCAAAGATTTCATACACCTATCCCATAAAAAGTTAAGACATTTTTCAAAATCAGTTAATCTTTAGTTTACTAATGTAATGGTAGACTGATGGATGAAAATTTTTGTTTTAATGCATCCAGATTATTCCAGCTGTTATCTGTGCAGGGCAACTGCTCAGAACAATGCTGCTTCCCAGGCAAGCAATCTAATGGCAATCTAATAGCAATCTACTAGTAATAGCAATCTAATCAATACATTCCCCCAAAAGGCTAACAGATATGTGTAACTTGAGAAATATGCCAACTGCCCATGATAATCTTTGTTTTTGTTTCTGGCTTCTATATTGGATGAGTACAAATCTTACTAAGTATACCAACAGCAGTCTCAAAACTAAACAAAATTCTGAGACTACTTGGAAGTTTTAAAAGCTGCCCCATGATATTGCATCTTATTCAAAGTGTCTTTA